ACAAAGATTTTGATTACTTTGCACCATTTCGTGGGCTTAATATTAAATGTGGGTCTTCAGAAACGTTAAGCAGTCAAGTCTTATGCTAAAAATTTTAGGATATTCAAAGAATTATAAAACATACAAATATTTACAAAAAAGTCAACAAAATAACCCATGGTGTCCTACAGAGTGACTTTAAAGTTTTCCAAGAAAAAACGCAAGCGTCTAGGTTCATCAGACAACTCTGATCTTGAAGTAACCCCACCACCTTCACCCCAGAGGGAGGGAGTTCAGGTAAGTATCAATATATATATATATATATAGATATATTTTATTTTCTTGTTGAACTTCATATTAAATTAAATGAAACAACTTGAAATGAGAAATGTCATTTACTTGTGTGTATGATTAAATATTGAAATGTTGGAAAGGGTTACTAGAATGGTGCCTGGAATAGAGGGGTTGTCATACGAGAAGAGACTGAAATCTTTCAAATTGTTTTCTCTTGAAAAAAGAAGAGTAAGGGGGATCTGATTGAGGTATTTAAGATTGTAAAGGGAATTGATAATCTTGATGCATTATTTTTTTTTATATTTAACAATGAGAATAGTAGAACTAGGGGACACAAGTATACATTTTGGCAAGGTAGGAGTCATCTTCAGCTATGACAGTTTCATTTTTTTCACATGGTGGTTGGCCTTTAGAATGGGTTGCCTTCAGATGTTGTACAGACAGTAAATTTAAGTGAGTTTAAGGAAAAGCTTGATAAGTACATGAATAGTAAGGGCTGGCTTTAAGATTTTATTTTATTCATTTAATAGCTTTTAATTATTTTAATTTTGTTTAGAGAATGGAACAGCCAAGATGGACCAATAGGTCCCATGTTGTCCCAAAACATTATTTTATGTTATTACTTTTTTAACTCGCTTATTGCTCCATTGTAAAAAAAATAAAAAAATTACAATATTTCCTACTTGGAATATCTATGCAGTCTTAAAATTAGAAGATACAAGTTTAGTAATTAGAAAACTAATGTTTAAAAACAAAATTCAAATCTTATCTCACAGCCTTAAAAGTGTGAACAAACTCAGAATTCTGATATTAATTGTAATATTCTTTTGTAAGCAAGATTGATTATAAATGTACAAAGATTCTGTGGTAAACATTAGATGGTATTATTAAAGTAGTCAAGACAGGATTGTAGGTGTTTCCAGTTGATGTTCATTTTTTAAGTATACGATTTCTTGTTGTTTTGTAAGATCATTAAAACTCAGTATAAAGTTTTAGTAGTTTATTAAGGCTAAAATGATAATTATTTAAAATCTAATAGATTGGACGTACTTTACTCCTGAAAAGTCTCATTTTATTGCTTATGTTTCAATAATTTTCTTTTTCACTTCTTCAAGTATCTGTTGCAGCCTTTGTTCTTTCTGTTAATTTGAAATGGTTTCCAGTATAATATAATTTTCCTGGTGAATCAGGTGTCTTTGAATAGAGTGGTTTAGCTTTCTTTCTTTATTTTTGAAAAAAATTGTAATTTCTTTTGGTTACTGTGTGTTGCAACATTTGTAGTTTTAATTATGTTAATACTTCTATTTTTGAGTTTCTGACATGGATACATAGCATTTCTTACTACTGAATCTGGTGTTGAATTTCTAATGTGTGTGTTACAAGGGCTGTAGTTGTTTTTGTTTCTGATATTATTTTTGTTTTATTTTGCTCTTGTTCCTGAACATCTTTGTCTTTCTCCATAATACCTTTTCACATTCACCAGTAATATGATTGTCTTTCCTCTTAACTTCACTTTTGTGTTTGTTGAAAATATTGCTAAATTTTGGGTAGAGTTTTATACCACTTTTGTAAAAACTCAACTGAGGGTGTTAGTGATTGCTTGGTAAAATGCAATTGAAATGGGGTGTTAGTTTTCTTTTTTCTTTTTCTCACCTCCAGTGGCACAACAGGTAGTCTGCAGATTTACAACTTAGAAACCCATAGTGGAAATAGCACAGATAGACCATTATGTAGCTTTGTGCTTAAGTAGAAACAAACTTTTTTTTTCTCTAACCTTTATAGTTTTTTAAATCTTCACAATTATATCCTTTGTTTTTTACTATTTTTTCTCAAGTTTTTCAGGAATTGAGTTGTGGAACAGTGGGATTTTGTGCTGTGAGTTAAGTTTGCCAAAATAATAATTGTTTAGTAGCAACAAAAGTAATATCTTTTATAAATAAGATCATAAATATAGCACATTAAATAGTTTCAACACCCATTTGTGAAAAATCTTAATTAAAATAAAATCAGTATATTTTATATATTTTTCCACTTACAATATTATACACTAGAGTTTTCTGTCATTGCTTCTTAGAAAATGATTCATTGTGATTGTGTGTTTTGTTAATACATGTAGCACTAGTGATGGAGTTTTCATTTTTAGAAACGACGTTCTGCAAGAAATACAAATAGAAAGAGATATAAAGATGATGATGAACTGGCATTTAGTGATGATAATCTCTTAGATGGACAAGAATTTGGGAAAAATTCTGATAAAGCTATTCAAATTTTTGTGGTGAGATTAAAATATTTTTCATTTCAGGAAATTAAGTTAGCTATTGACTGAGTATATTAATAAGTATACAACTTCATAAGTAGAAGTACAATAAGCAAATGAGTGAAAATCTGTATCAGTTATATCTACAGATGAGTGTGAAATCACAGAGGATTAAAAATTTAATGAAAGTGTTTATAAGACCTAAATACTGTGAATACACAATAAGTTACTAATTTTTGTTCAGAAATATTTATTAAATTAAGAATGCTACACTTTCTGTGACATTTAATCTCATGTTTAACAGGTTGAGTAAAGTAAATTACCTTCCCTCACATTTGTTTTAGATAAATTCATGTTATCAGTTGCAATTGTTATGTAGGAATGATTTTAATATTGCAGTATATTAACCATTGTTTTGGTAAGTTTTATATATTATTTTAAATAATGTTTTACTCATTTCTATCCATTTGAAATAGAATTATTGTTTTCCTAGTGTGTAGATTATAAGACTATGTATTGAACAGCCTAGGGTTTTAGAAGTGACACAATAGAACATGCACCACAATTTAAGCAGTGGACACTGTATGAAAGTGGCAGTCAGTCCTGTTATTTGGTTTTATAAAGAGTCAATAAAGCCTTTGTGGCAATGGGTGTTGTTGGTTGGCTCTCTGTTCTCTGGTTAATAGTTCAACATTAAGGACAACTGTGGCTGAACTCTTAACAGTATTTGACTTGCCTCTTTAGCTCACATGTGTATAAGGTGTCATTGAGGTTGGAAATTCCAATTCTAATCCTATTCAAAATACTGCCTTGATACTTATGAGCAACAACACTCATGTTTTAACCAAGTGACCACATCAGTTCTGAGCTTTTGAAGTAAAAATTGGGAAGTTTAAATAATGATAAAGCCCCCTGACCAGATAATATTTACCCAAGAGTTATGAAAGAGGTTTAGGATTGGATAGTATTTTTTCTAAGTTCTTGAAGACTGGGCAGGTGCCAGAAGATTGAAAATTAGCTAATTTTACTCCTCATTTTCAAGGGAGGTGATAAAAATTGTTCCAGTAATTATAGAGCTATTAGTTTTACATCAGTGGTGGGAAACACTTTTTAAAGTCTCATAAAAGACACTTTGCAAAGTCACTTAACAAAGTTTAAAATTTTGTTGGATTGTCCGCATGGTTTCACTAGGGTAAAATCTTGCTTTACTAACCTTTTGGCATTCTTTGAAGAGGTTACTGTCTATGTAGATGATGTTACATGTGTGTATGTAGTACATTTGGATAATCAGAAAGCATTTGACAAGGTTCCACATAAAAGGCTTTTTAAAATTTATCTCTGTAGGTGTGGGGAATAAATTGGCTCATTGGATAAAAAACTAGATGGAAGAAAGCAGAGGGTTGTTCTTAAATGGAGTTCAGTCAGACTGGATTAATGTCATGAGTGGGGTACCTCAGGGCTGAGTGTCAGTACCTTTGCTCTTTTTTGATGTACATTAATGACATAGATGAAGGGATGGGCAATAGATTATTTATATTTGCTGATGACATTAATGTTTAGGGTGTCACTGGCTGTGAGGAGGATGCTACAGCCATGCAAAAGGATTTGGATTATTTCGTGAGTTGTGTGAACAAATGGCATATGGCTCTTAATTATAGTAAATGCAAGGTAATGGAATTTTACATTTTGAATTATGAGCATCATTTTTATGGGAATAACCTTAACAGTGTTAGGGAAAATAAAGATCTTGATGTTCTGGTTTATCAGTCACTTAAGCCACCTAAGCAATGTGCTGTTGCTAGTGGCAGTGTGTATAGGGTTTTAGGTTGTATACAAGTCTGATGATGTTATAATATCATTGCATAGGTCATTGGTTATGCAACATTTGGAGCATTGTGTTTATTCTTGGGCTCCTTATCTTCGAAAGGACATTAAATTGCTGGAAAGGGTTCAGAGAAGGGCTACTAGGATGATATTTGGGATGGAAATGTTATCATATGAGGATAGAGTATAAATACCTGAACTTGTGCTCTCATGAAAGAAGAAGAGTTAGAGGGAAACCCATTGAGTTTTATAAGATTTTTGAGGGAATTAATAGTGTTGATGCACATGTTTTTTTTTTTCATATTTAATGGTGAGATTGTTAAGACTAGGGGGGCACAAATATAAATTTTGGCAGGGATGAAAACATCTTCAGCTAAGACACCTTTATTGTTCCAACAGAGTGGTTGACCTCTCGAATGAGTTATCTTTGGATGTGATGGATGCAGTTAAGAGTATAAGGGAAGAAGGATCGATAAATATTTGAATAATAAGGGTTGACCTTGAGGCAGCTTTTAGGGTTTAATTTCATTTGGTGAATAGGACAGCCAATAAGGACCAAAAGGTTCATTGTTGTCCTAATAAAATTACTTATAGAAACAATTATTTTTATTATAATATTAGTGAAAGTTTTAATAATATTATTATAGCAGTATTTCACATTCAGCTACAAATATTATACAGGAAAGTAATGTAGGTACTTTTTAATTCTCATAGTATATAGTTTTCTGTAACAAAATTCTAATCGTGGAAATGAAGAAGAATTTAATTTTGATTAAGTTTTTATTGAATTTGTATTTGAAAACATTACAGAAACTATTCACTGGTATAGTTTCTTAAAAGTTTGTGAAACTTAAGATATATTGAAAATGTTCTGTACCTCTCTCAATTATCTCTTATCGTTTAAAAACTGAACTTTTTTATTAGTAAAGTAAATTAGTCAATTTTAGGATAATTTCTAGTAAGGAAAATGCTGATAACAAAAGTTAGAACAAAATTATTTTGCCTTATTAATATATTAAGCATTGCTGTTTTGACAAAATAGCTGTTATAACTTTGTCCTGTAGGATGTAAACCATGATGATTCAATGGTAGTTGAGAAGGTTCTGGCCTCACGAATAGTAAAAAGAGAGGTAAGTTGTATGCATTGACTTTACTGTATTGTAAAGATAACTTGTATATTTGAATAGTTGACAGCTGTTATTTTGATGGAAATCAGACCTGTCAACTTTTTGTTTTCTTAATATATCATAGTATAACGTTTTGAGATTTTAGGCTAAACTTCTTTCTGTCCATATTTTCCAATTCAATCTATTTCTATGTCAATATTACAGATTCAATAAGTCTTTCTTATTCAATATATCTCTTAACCCATTCGAAAAGGGTCACGAGTGAAAGGCCATGTCATCTCATTTGTTGACTTGCATTCAAAATTTTTTGAATTACTATTTCATGAACTTGTGTGAATAAGTTTGGTATCAAACTGTATCAATCTATACATTATCAATTTGTTAATTTAAAGTAAATATTAAAAAACAAACATTGATTTTTGTGTGTCACATGGTATGTTGAATGCAGCACTGGTTCAGGTTAGATGTTCGTGAAGTCAAAATACAAAGTATATAGTTACATAAGAATTAGAAACCCAAATTACAGATATTGACAAGTTAGAATGTAAAATAAGAATGTCTTATCTTTTCTATTTGCTAAGATATTGCTTATGTAATAAATCAAACATAGTGGCACCCCATTCACCTCCTTCCATTTTTGGAAATGTTCCCTTATGTATACTTACTTCTATATATGACATGAATAACCAATCGGAAGCTCAGAATGTCCCCCTAGTGGTTTTCTCAGCCATTCTAATGTTCCTTCTGCAATTTCTTGCTTTTGAACCAAGATTTCAATGATGTAGGTTGTGTCTTTTTTTTAGACCCAAATATAATTTAGTTACGAAACTTGATAAATTATAGTAGAATTCTATGGTATTGATGTAGTAATTTATGATTCTCTTAGTTATTCAAATATATATATATAAAACCTAAAAAAATATTTTGTTTCATATCCTCCACACGCAAAATTTTTAAAGGCTTAACAACACCTACGTCAAGCAGCAGCCAAGTACAAAGGTCGTAACTTCTGTATTGTTAGCCAGGCACAGGTGAAAGATCAATATAATAAAAATAATAAATATATATAAATGTATAATGTTATGAGATTTAAGCTATTTTGTCTAAACATTTATGTTTTCGTGTTATAATTTGTGTTCATTCTAGAATGAAAAAGGCATAATTAATGTTTATTGTCTAAATTTTATGGTAGTTGCGAGATCAAATTTACTGAATAACAGAAAAAAATATAAAGTTTTTTTATTAAGAAACATTTAATAACTATCCGGACATTATATAGATTTTACATGTGAAATTTCAAAATTTTCTGATGCATAAACGTATTTTCAATGTTAAAATGAAAATTACTTTGCATGATAGATAGGCAAGATGTGAAAAGAAAAAAGAGGCATGAGAGAAACATTGCTTTAAAAACCTTAAGACTTAATAAAAAAATTAGATATTTTGCATATGAAAGCATTGTAATGTTTACTGATAATCTGTCAAATTTCGTTAATTTTAGCATACTAATTTAAAAGCTATAGCATGAAAACTATAATAAGCACAAAATGATTACAAAGTCGGTCCCAGGGTTTAAGCCCGGGCTGAAAGAGTTAATATGTTCTTATTGTTGCCATACTTTAATTGCTGTTGACAAATGTCATAATTTGTTAGCCGCTTCTGTGTTTTTTATCATTTAAAAAGCATCTCTAGTTTAACACTGTTGACAAATGTCAGAATTTGATAGCCGCTTCTGTGTTTTTTATCATTTAAAAAGCATCTTTAGTTTAACACTGTAATATTTTTTTTTACAATAAAGATATTCAGTGATATCATTCAGAAATTAAACTTCAATATTTAGGTTGAGAGTGATGTGCAAGAAGAATCAACCTTTGAAGCTGATGTTGAAGAATTTTTTGTGAAGTATAAATTACTGTAAGTTCTGCATCTTGTGTGAAAAGTTCTTGTTTGTTTTGAATCAGTTATAACTTTTTTATGTTATTTTTATTGCATATCTAGTGTGAGATCATCAGGAAATTTTATGTAATTGACAATTTACGTGTTTTTGAAATTACTCTATTTGAGACTTGGCTGTTTGGTGATAATTTTTTAGAAATATTTTATGAAGAAATATTTAAATACATTATTTTATGTTTTAAGATAATGCTTTGTGATATAATGACAGTTATTTTCAAGTAAGTCTCCATTTTTATGTCTTTTAAGGAAGTGTTCAAATTACAGCTTTAATTATAGAAGTTAGTGCCTCCTTTAGTGCTAGGCCTTGGCTATTGTAGTTGTATGTCTGTTGTAGTTTCAATCAGTGATAAATAGTGTTGGTTTATGAAAATTGAATATTTTTTTTCACCATATTTTTAAAAGTAGAGACTTGAAACAATGGTTAAGATTACCATGAAAGTTTCTTTATCATTCAAAATAAAATTATCTTAGTTTTTAAAAAAAACAAAAAAACAAGACAAATATCTTAATACATTACTTTAGTCTCTTTTATCATGCCATAGTACACTGCACATAGTTACTTAGGGAAAGTGCTTTTCTTGTGTTTATATCATACATTTGTTAAGAGTTTCTTCAGTGATCCCTTTTTGGTCTATTATGATTAATTTCTGATGATGAAAGATTACGGCTTGATGAATCTTTGCACAATTGTACAAGAATGCTGTAGTACTTTAAAGTAATCTTCAGTCTTTAAAAATAAGAGTAACTATTGTATCAATGTAAAATATGAATCATGTCATGAAAATCTTGGAAATCAATGGTTATGATATCAGGAAAATTAACCCCATTGCTCTCACATCTTCCATTTTTATTGACAAGACATACCACTGTGTTCATCAGAGTTTTGTGAAGGACAATCTCTAGAAATTGTGGTCCTTAAAACTGGACTTGACAACAGTGGTCAGTGAAAAGCATGTACTTCCATCTGAAAGCAAACATGTTTCATTTGACTATGGTTGGATTGGTACTATTAGCATAAAAAGTGTTTGATAAAAAAAATTAAAATTGTTGAAGGATAAAGAATATGGATGTTACATAATTTTCATAATTCCATTTTTAGGAAATGCTACCAATTAATTAACACAGTTTTAAGTCTAAGTACCTCATTAGTTATTGCTTAAAATTCATTTATAAAAAGAGAAAGAGAGAGAGAGACAAATATAAATGGCAAACAGTAGAATCATTGTCATAAACCCAACTGTCATAAATGAAATAGTCAAATATATGCCATTAAAGATAGTGATCGTACTTGTAATCATAATACCTTATGATGATTGATACTTGACAATAAATGAAATTATTCAGAAAATATCATTTAAGATCTGGTATATGTTTTTGTAGAAGTTACAGGCTGAACACCACAGTGAAATATAAAGGTTTTATTGACCCACAAGGTTTCCAACTCTTTTAAAAGTTCTTTACTAGGTGGAACTACAGAAAACTTGAAACAATGGAATGTAATTTCTTTGATTAGCTTGTTTCCTAGGCCTCTTTTTAACCCATTGACTGCAGCTGCTCTAAATGTGCAGAAGTTTTGCAAGATGTACACTGTATATGGCATACTTGCATTCCCGTCCCACCAAACATGCTCACCCTTTCAGCCGTGGGGGCGTTATAATGTGATGGTCAATCCCACTATTCGTTGGTAAAAGAGTAGCCCAAGAGTTGGCGGTGGGTGGTAATGACTAGCTGCCTTCCCTCTAGTCTTACACTGCCAAATTAGGGATGGCTAGCGCATATAGCCCTCGTGTAGCTGTGCGCGAAATTCAAAACAAACAAACAATACTTGCATTCAACTGTCAGAGGTGGACTGTAGCCAGTAAGGCAAATCAGCAATTACTGGACTAATACATTAATGAGTTCAATCGATAGCTCAGATGTTATGTTTTTGTTTTCTAGAATATTTTGTACATCTGTTACTGCATTTTTTATAAAATATATTAAAATTATTAATTACTTTTGAGTTAATGTTTTGTTAAAGATCAGTAATTTTTTATGTTTTTGAGAATGAAGTTTGTTCTGGAAAGTCTTGGAATTTAGTTTTCTTCCATTAGCCTGTGCAAACCATGGTGAATGTTAGGAGATATTGGTAAAAAACTGCTTTTGAAAATCAAAACCAGTTGGAGCCATTACATTTCCCATTCTGTATTTCTGCCCAAAAATCAATGTTAAATGCCTTTAGATTATATTTAGGTTTGAAACATATAAATGATTTTTCCAAGTTGTCAGTTATTGAATCATTGAAAACAATTAAGTATTTTATTCTTAATTTTGATATTATTGAATGAAAATAGGTCTTTTGTCAAGTTCTGAACATTTATAAAAATAAAATGTAATTTTGTATCTCCTGTTTTCATGCATTGGACATTTATACAAAATATGTAGTATTGTAGTAGCAAGTTCATATAGATTTTGCTTAAATTATGAAATCAAGTTCAAATTAGGTATACTCTAATAGATAACCTGCTTGTATTTTTTTCTTATGAAGGTCATTTTCTTACATATAATTTAAATGGCTGTAGACAGATAAAATCATTGAAGTATAACACTTGTTATTGAATATATATATATAAAGAGATTGATTATGCTATATTAAACTATTTTGAAGCCTTACTATGCTGTTACAGTCTGTCACCACATTCAGTCAAAAAGCACATGACTTGTCTTTGCATACTTTCCATAATCCATCTAGTGTACAAGGATAAAATTTGTCAGCACACATTTCAACAGTCCAATTGACACAAATACATATTACTGCACCTAGCGACTTTAATAGTATGTCTTTATATGGAATAGTATGAATATCCATTTCATTCTTCAGCTACTTGAGGTATGCAATTATTGAATAGATATGTCATGGAAGCAACTTGTGTACAAGTATTTATGTTATAAGATGCAATTGTTGCTTACAATGGCTGGAGTATGACTTATTTTAGCTGTCTTTCTGAATGGACCTAATTCCCACAAGTTAATCCATATTCCATTGTTATTCAGTGGCATTAAGTCCTTAGGGGTTATCCTCATCTTATAAATTCTATATGCTTGATATGAACACATCTTTATCATCTGAGTGTATGAATATTTTGTGTCAGATATGACTGTTACATACCCTTCCAAAAAACAACAAACTTTTCAATGGTCAAAATATAGTTCTGATACATTCTATTCTGCCATGACTTTATATCAGTTGTGTTTGCTATAAAAGTTGAGGATTTGTGTACTCTGAATTGTTTTAATACACTGTACTCAAATCCCCTGCACATGTTTTCTCTATAAACTTTTCTGTGAAAATAGTATATTGTGTTGTAAGCTTGGTTACAGGAACATTAGTAATAAAACACATCAAAAGTCGGGACATTGGTTGTCTCCACCTATATTGCATAAGTTTCTTTAGTAATTAGATTACAATAAAACTGAACATTCTCATTATACAGAAAAGTTCGAATATGTTTAACTTTTATATAAAGATATAAAGTTGTACTTAAAACAATAGTTTTTTCATAAAAGGATTTTTATATCTTGTAGCTCATACATTCATTGTGAATGGAAATCCTTAGAAGAACTAGAAAAAGGAGACAGAAGAGTGTTGCAGAAAATTAAAAAGTTTAAGCGAAAAAAGGAATCAAGCAATAACTTCTTTGATTTTGTAAGTAATTTTGAAATATAAAATATTAATAACTAATTAATTAAGTATGGTTACGTGATCATATAAGCTACTGATCATGATGATGATAAAATGGTTTGTTGGATTATAGAGATGGACATTAATTTCTGACAAGGATTAAGTCAAATATTTTTGACTATCGCTAATTTATTCTAAGAGGTTCTGTATTTAAAGCAGGCATGTGCAACATACGGCCTGCAGACTGGATGCAGCTCGCGAGCCACCCATGAACTCA